TTTTACTTTTTTATATTTTTGATATATTTTAGAAAATTACTACTTTATATTTGTTCTACGAACAATTAGTTACATAGATTGTGGAATGAAAATTATACTAATAATACATTTCTATTGGTCATTTGGTCATTAAACTATATTTAGTTTCATTTGACTTTAATTACTAAATTTATTAATCCAATTTGTAACAATACTGCTATGTTACTTTTAACTTATGATAAAATCTTAACCTTTAGATATCAATTCTAGTGCATATTTATTACTTAACAATAATTATTTTCAAAAATTCGTAAATTTCTAAGAAAAAATTTTGAAACTAAAATGAGTTTTTTTTTCAAAAAAAAGTATTATTTAAAATATTCTTCACTAAATTGAATACAAAATTTTGGAATTAAAGTAAGTTTTTTCCTTTTTTTAAAACAATGCAGCATTGTTATGTCTTTTTAAATTAATAATAAGAATAATCAAATTATTTGTTAATTTTTTCTCAAGAAATTTTTAATAAATGTATAAATTTCAATAATACTGTGTCAATTATTGTATAAACAGTTACAAAAAATATAAAAAATGACTAAAGTTTAAAAAGGTTTATTTAAAAGGATATACGAGTTTAGATCACAAAACTTTAAGATTTAAGGTTTTCACGAATTTAAAATGAGTTTTAAAAATTAGAAAAATAAAAATACGTAAATTTTCGCTAACAATATATTTGCTCTTGGCTTTATTTTTGGATACAATTACAATTTTTGCTTGTACTGCTAATAATTAGTATCATTTGGAAAAAATTTTCCAGCATTCAGAATTTCTTTTCCAGAAGATGTATAGAATAGCCAAAATATATTTTAAGAAACTAATTTGCAATGTATTTAATAATAGCTAAATATATAAAAATGCTGCAAATATGCAAAATAATTAATAAAAATTTTTTTCCAATTTTTGTTTTTTTTATTTTATCGAATTTATTTTTATGAGTAAAATTTGATGCAATAAAAATTTTTTAATGGATAAAAAGATCAAATAAAATAAAAAATGAACAAAGTTTTTGATTAAATTTTAATAAAAGCTAAAATTGCAAACTATCTCATTAGCAACTTTTTATTGAAGCAAAATTTTAGCTTTTCTAAAAAATAAATTTTATTTCAATTTTTCGGCAGTAAAAATACAGTTTTACCTAATTCTTATAATGTATTTCAAATAAAAAACAGATTATAATTAACGAATGTATTTATAAAACTTAATAATCGGAATTTAAAACTTAATTGCTCATTGTTTCTTAAATTACTTAGTATTTATGATAATTTTATACTTGTATATAGATGATTCAAACATTTAAATTTTAAAAAATTTAAGTTTGCTTCAAATATGTTTTACTGCTTTGAGACAAAAATTTTTATCTGGATAATATTCAAAAAATATCAACTATTAAAATTTATAAAGTATTACTGTTTAGCGGAATCTACCGGTTCTTTCTAAAATTCTCAATGCATATATTCTATTCTTTTATAATCACAAAAGTTTTATTATTGTATATTTATATCCAAAAATATTAGAACGAATTCAAATTAAGTGTTCTTATTATACAAAATTTTGTGCTAGTACACTAATATTTACAAATAATATAAATAAAACAAAAATATATACAAATAATACAAATTAATAACCCAAAATACAAATAACACACATTAAAAAAATAACACGAATAAATACAAATAATACAAATTGAACTACAACCTCAAGTATAATATAAATAGATATATTTGCTTATGTCGTATGTTTTATTAAACAAATATATTTGTATTATATCTGAGGTTATAGTTCAACTTTTAACTTTCTTAAAATGTTTTTTATTAAAATTATATAAATAAAATGTTTCAATCATCTCAAAAATAATTTCCTCGCAGAAAAAAAACTAAAATTCTTTTATATATGCAAATTACTTTTTACAAATACAAATGAATTAGTTTCGAAGTAATAAAAATAATTCAGTAATACAATAAACTTAATTAAAAAACAAAGCTAAGCAGCTTGATTGGCTTAGCAAACTCTATTTCTAAAAAAAGTTTAATAAAATAGTCGAAGAAATTTTGCTATTTTCATTTTTACAATAACCAAAGATTTTTCAAAATTTTAATTTATCAAAAGAAGACAAATAAATTCATAAATTAATAAATCAAATGACAAGTATTCATATATATATCGTCATAATTTAACGAATGCTAATACATACTAAATTAGGCTATATTAACAAAAAATATGTATATGAAGCAATGTAAAGCCAATTTTGAGCTAAAAAGAGCATTATTTTTTTGATCATTTTATTGTTTACTTAATAATGCATTCGATTATAAAATTTTGTTATTTATGTATTTGATTATAGAATTCAGCCAAACATAGAATCATCAAGCACATACTAATTAGCATATCTCAATTAATATGCCATTGTTACTAGCTCAATTTTTTTTTAAAGAGGCTCAATTAATTTTGTCTACATGACTAAAGTTTTGATAAATTTAGAATAATTATCAAAATATAATAAATCTCAGTATATTTAAACATAACTTATCACTCATAACTTTTGAAATGTAAAAATTTTATCACATTGCAATCATTTATCGGATATATCAAATCACTACTGCATTATTTATATAAGTTAATTTACGTAATAAAATAATATATTTAGTATTTTCATCTAAAACTTCTTTAGTATGTGTTCAGTTAATAAAAAATTAAGAGGTAATTATCGTGATAAAAATAATAATTGCATTAAATATTACTCATAAACTGTAATAGAAGTGAACTTTTCAAAAAGAGCACATTTTATTCCAAAAAATAAATTTGTAATTATTTAATTCAAAAATTAAAAATTTTATAATAATTTTATGATAAGTCTTAATTTCAGTGTTGATAAATACTCATTACCAAATATATTTTTAAGTTTGTTGGCGAAATTATAAGCTGAAAAGCTCTTTACATCTGTTGCATGTAATTATTACTATTTTTAGTACCATAATTATTTTTAAATTAATCACTAACTACATGATATTTTTTTCACGTTTTTCACGAAGTTTAAAATTACAAAAATCTTTGCACGTACAAATGTTTACGTAAGCATAGAATTATTCTTCTTCTCATCAAAAAATTTCATATTTACTTTTTTTGCTTGTTTTGATAGAATTTTTAAATAGTTCCATCCATAACTGTTTGCTCTAGCAAATATGTTTTGATTTTTATTTTAATAATTTATCTTGAAAGTTCAAAAGTTATGATTTTTCTTTGATTTATCGATTAAAACAGTCAAAAAAAAATCATTTTTTAAAATCTTACTTAGGTATTTAATTTTTCTTTAATCAAAATAATGCACTAATTATTGCTTTAATAAAATCATACTGCAATTTTTAATTAATCGAAAGTCTTTCATTTTTTGTTTTGTTTTTATAAGCCATAATTAAAAAAAACACTTTCCTACTGCTTTACTTTATCTAATAAATAAAATTCTCGTGATGATTATTTGATGCCAAACCAATTAATAATATAAATTACTTCTTTTCACTTATTCTTTCTTCTCAATTATGTATGCAAATTTTTAGTAGTATTATGCATTTTATTTCAATCAATAACTTCCTTAGATAACTTTTTTACTAAATCTCGGAGTATAATTTTTGAATAATTTTGTCTCTGGCCAAAAAATTAATAACACAAATAGTTAATAAAATTGTGAATTACAAGTATTTTTTCAAAGTAAAAATCTTAATGTATCAAAAAAGTATTTTAGTCAAAATTTAACGTCAAACATTTTTCATATAGTAACACAAACGTATATACGCATAGATACGGTATTATAAGCGTGTAAATTTAGCTCAAATATGCGTAATTCATTAAATGAAGGAAATGTGACATGTTAAAGCATATTTATAAATGCATAATACCGCTAAAATTTTTGTTCCTAAAAGTTCTGAATTCCTTAAAATCTTAAACTTAAAAGACAAATTGGTGTATAGTACTTTAATCGAAAAAAATACTGTACAATACAGTTTTTGCTTAATATATTGTAGCAAGAATCTGTCCCATTATTACACTGCTATCAGAAATTGTACAAGTATAAAAAAGAAAAAAGTTCAATTTAAAAGAAATATTAATAAAAGTTTTGATTTCTGTGGCAAATTTTGTTTTTTCTATCCGATTATATCTTAATTTTTGAAAGGTTAAATAAGCAAAAAACTTAACTTTTTAAATAAAATGCAATTGCTTGAAATCAGTAATAATTATTTTCGGTAAAGTAAAAAATTTTAATCGTCAAAAATAAATGAGCAAAATTTAGACGTAAAATTTTAATTTAGGGTCAAAAAAGGTCAAAACATGATGTAATAGATTAAGTTTTGTATTTGAAATGATTCAAAACCAAAGTTAAAATCTGAAAAAATTCTACAAGCATTGCTTAATTTTAAAGGAATTTTTCCAGATAAAATAAAAGCCTAACTCATAAATTTAAATACTAATAAATAATACAAAAAGTTAACTTTAATTTCATTAAAAGCTATGATATGTAAATTTGAATCAATTGCATAAAGCCGCATGAATTTTATTAATTTTGACAAAAACTTTGAAAAATTAAAAAGTATCGTTTGATCAAATTCCAATTTTTTGGATCATTCATTATTATTTAAATACTCATTAAATAAAAAACTCCTAAAAAAGCTTTGTTAAAAGTAATTTAAATTTTTTGTCTGGAAAAAGTTGCTTATTTTTTGGTAATAAAATTTCAAAACTTATTATAATTTCATAGTTGTTTTCTTTGTGCCACAATATTATTAAATATATTAAAATAGCAGAAAGTAAATAATTAACATTTTAAATTACTTAAGAAGGGAAGTATTTTATGTATTATATATGCATTATGAGTTTATTTTACTTAATCAAATTGTATAACAGTAATTATATATGCAACTTATTAAAGTACTTCATGTCATGAAAAAGATTACGGTAGCTGTTTTCCGTAATTGAAATATGAGATTAAGATTGCATATTGTTTTATAACTTGATCAGTCACGTTAATAACGCGGAATCTTGCTTATATTGTCTAACTGCGCAAATCATAATATGCTAATTTAATATAATTAAGAAAGTTTCAGCAGTATCCACGAGAATCTGTCAGAAATTCAAAATATAATGAAAAATTACTTCTTAATTGGCATATTGCTTCTACCTCATATATTAATCTCGTAAGCTTTTAAATTACATTTAACTTTCAGTCAATCCTTGGTAAGTTCAAAATCAATTTTAACTGCGCAATGTTTTTTTGCATTATTTTTTTTCAATAAGAACAGAATTTTTTATTTTTTAACAAATTTTTTTCGGACTTATTACAATTTACATGCATTTGTCAAGAGTTAATCAGTGAGGTCAATTATTAATTGATTGATTGATTGATAGTGTTTAGATAAATTTGAACAAAATTATGTACAAATGATTACAGTAATGAAATTATTATCACATGATATGAATTGTAGTTCTATTAACGAGTTACTACTGAATTTAAAGGCAATGAAAAATTAATATTTAATACTAATTACTAGTATTTCCTTATTTTCTCATATTTTTTAATAAAAATCAAGCTAGCAGTTTTGGATTTGAAAAAGATGACCTTTAAACTTTATTGATTTCTGTGTATTATTTTATTTATTTAAAAATAAATTTCAAGTGCTCTATCAGTTGATCGAAGCAGACGAATGGATCATGACAATAATCTAAAACAATTTGCATCAGCTATCAATGATGCATTAAGGCTACGTTATGGAAAACGATCATACGATCCAAATCTATACGACGAAATCGCTACATTTCAGTAATTTAATTTTCATTTCATTTCATTATTTAAGTTAACATTTAACCTTTAACTTTTGACATATCCACAAGCATATACTTAGTATAGAAATAGCTGACAGAAAATAATTGAGTTAAAACTGCATTAAGTATAAAGCAATATAACATTTATTTTCAGTGAAAGCAATTTTAGCAAATATTAAAAAGTAATAATATTTTTGATAAGTTCAAAATTTATTGAAGAAAATTAAAGTCTGTAAGTGAGAGGAAAATCACAAACACTTTAATAAAATTACTAAAAGAACTGAAAATATTAAAAAGTTAAAAACTTTTAAAGATTTGGCTTTATTTGAACCTTTTAAACTTCAGACTTTTTGGATTAAAAAACCCAAAAAAAATAAATAAATATAAAACTGTGCAAAGTAGATTAGTGTTAAATGTTAAATTAAAATATAATAACTGATAATTGTTTATTGTGCGCGTAATATTTAATATTTGTCAAAATTATCAGTGTATTTTTTATTAAATTTTAATAATAAGCTATGAAAATTTTTAAGTTTCAAATTTCAATCACAAAAATTATCAAAAATAAATCTTCAAAAATAAATTTTTCATAAAAAGTTATTCAAATTTCATTTATGCAAAAATATTTTAATTTATTTTTTACAGGCAACTTGGCAAACAGTATTACCTTCCTTATTACGATGATTTTTATTTGCACAAGTAAAAAATTTATTTTTCTTTTTTTTCACCTCAAATATTATATGATCAAATGTAATGTTAGTTCTATTTATCAAATTGATAATGAACTGATAAATAAAGATTTTATTATTAAATCAAACAAATAAAAGCAATACTTCTGCTCGAAATAATCTTGTCTAATTATTGAAAACTTCTAATTCATTAATGATTATTTCTAACTGATTATGATTATTCTAGTTGATTAATGATTATTCTAGTTGATTAATGATTATTCTAATTGATTAATGATTATTTTAATCAATTAATGATTAGTTTTTCATAAAACACTACTTCAATTAATTAAATAACTCTGGCTTTTTTTAAAATTTTGAAAAAATCCTACCACTTTTTTATTAATTGATTAAAATATCAACTACCAATCATAAAAACCAAAACTAAATATTTTGATCTGGTATATTGATTAGATTATGAATTAAAACAATAATTTATTCAGATAAAACAAATTTAGTAAGTTATTGTAATGCTAGATTATTATTAAAAGCTTTATGGAATATTATTAAAAAATCACAATTAGTTAATTTGAAATTGGAATTAATTAATTATAAGTGATGCTAAAATGTTGTATAAGTAAATGTTGAACAAATTTTAAAATATTCTAGTAATTAATATTAAATATAGTAATAATAAATTTTAATAAAAAATTAAAAAAATAGTTATTGTAATAAATTGTAATATAAAAATTAAATTAAAAGAATATTTATTGCTTAATTTGCAAAATCTTTTTACTTACTTATTTTTGACAAAATTATTATTTCACAGTCAACTACAAAAACGATCACTATCAACTGATAGAGTAATCGCATCACTCAACGGAGCTGAACGACTCAGGTCTTATTTTTATTATTTTAACTATAATATACGCAAAAGTTAATTAAACAAAAAATTTTGCTTTGCAAATTATATATTTGTAAAATATTCATATAATTCAAAAATTATTAAATTATAATATTAAATTTACATGTCAGTAAAGGAAGAAAAGTCCCATGAAAGTTTTCAATCACCATTTATGCAAATTACACAAATAAGATTTTATATAATTATGGTAATCTTTTAATTTTAAATAAATCAATACTTATTTATGCAAAAATTCCTTCTTTCTTTTCAATATATAATTAACAATTGGAATTAATCATGAATAATGACAAAGCATAATAAATCTAGTCATAATTATGCCAATTATAACGTCGAAAAATTATATTGTCCTGCAGCATAAATGATGCTTAGAAGACTATTATGCTTCATGTACATGAAATTTATTCATAATAAGAATAAGCAAATTTTCTTATCCTTTACTCATAATTTATGCATATTTCAGTGACTGACTATGGTCTTGAAAACTTTATGTTAGTAATTTAAG